TGCAAAGTATGAGCTGCGCAAGGTTGTCTTTCAACATGTGACAAGGAATTCTTAATAAGATTAACCAATTTCACTATATTTATGCCATTATCCATAATAATAATAAGAATTTTGTCAGCAAGATTCCACTGCTGAATAATATTATATAGCTCCTCACTAATAATTTGGCCAGTATGTGGATGATTTAGAATATTGCAAGTAAGTAAAACCTCATAAAATTTAAATTCTGAACTAAGCCAAGTAGCTGTTACTCCAATATATCTATAATTGCTCCTAGCTATCCAAAGATCAGTTGTTAAGTGAACTGAAGTAGCAGTATTAGAAAGTAAATTATATAATTTGCTTGTGCTTCATAAATATGCTTCATAAATTAAATTTTTTGCTGTTTTGTTACATAGAATATGAAATCCAGGCTCACAACCATGAACAAATTTACAAAAATCCTCATCTTGAAGGATATATAATGTCTGCATGAATTTTATTATAAATTTAATTAAAAGGTAAGACAATACTTCTTGGTGAGTTTTATTGCATTGTGGTAGAAATATTTGACTTTCTTTTGGCTAATATAAATTGAAAGTTTATTACTATAACTAACTAGATATTATTATTAAATACATATTTTCTTACTTTATTATTTGCATCTAAATACATTCGATAATTTTGTTTTATTATGCCATGTTTTTTCTGTAAGTGACTAGCCATGTTTGTAGCTGTACTTCCTTTATGATTATAAGGATAAGACTCTTTAGTGATATTAGCAAGATTTTTACATATCATGCAATAAGCAATATCATTGTTATTAGGATCTCGAGAAAAGAAGTAAGTCGTGTGACTTTTATTAATTCTGTTACTACTATTGCTTTTATTTTTACGTTTTTTACGATTATTTGTAGGGTTTGAACTTGATATTCCAGCTTCAGTAAGAGAAGAATTTGGCTTATCAATATCAAGGTTCAAAGAAGAAGCAGAAAAGAGGCCATTTTGCAATGCTTTCATATTTACCTGATTGCTACATTATTTATATAATTAAAGCTACAAGTGCTTACTTTATTAGTTACTTAATAAACTTGCCGTATGAACTTTAGCTCTGCAAAAAAATAATGTTATTGTAAAGGCATAAAGTTTAAAGTTAAAATTAATTGTTTTCTACATGAACTTTAGTTCTTACTGAAAATTAATAAATAATATATAAGTTATCATAAAAATATCAAGCCTAAAAAATAAATAAATTTATTGTTCTCCGTATGAAATTTAGCTCAAAAATGAATTAAATTTGATTGCTTTTTATATAAACTTAGTTTTGCGAATTATTGTATACAAAAATTAATTATTGTCTTTCATAAAAATTTAGTTCTCACAGAGAACAAAAAAAAAATATAAGGCCTGAAAATAATTTAAAATCGATTTCTTTCTATATAAATTTTAGTTCTTGCATCATGAAAGCCTTTAACATTAGCGATCTAATTATATATATGATTTATTTCTAAAAATAGATATAAATTACTACTGTAATTCAGTATTTGCTTTTGTATTCAGATTTAATCTGAATCCAAAGGAAATTGGATTTAAATCTGAAGATCCAATCCGGTTCCAAACTCTAGCTACATAGCTTGAGATATGAATTTTTAAAAAGTATGCCAGTAAGGATTAAGAGAATTTTCTGTTAGGCACACCAAATTGGAAGCAAAAAGCATCTATCTGGAAAAACATACACCAATTTGGGAGTTAAGATAGTAGATTATGTGAGTAATATGGTAAATATGTAAATACTAATTAGCAGTTAAGAAAAGAAGTACAAAAACCAGGTCAATTACATGTATAGAAGTATGATAGCTCTGGTAAGTTTTAGTTATAAATAAATGGTTTGAATATCTAAAGCCCTAGTCTCAATACTAATATGTAATATGTATGTATTTATAGCACTACTATATAGAGACCCTCATAGCAAAAGGGGCAGTAGGACAAAAATTTTGATTTTGTAATTTTATAAATATTGGTTTCCTATCAATCTAATTTTTCAAGAAATTAATTAAAAAAAAAAAAAAATTTTTTGGCCCACTGCCCCTTTTTGCTGTGGGGTCCTATATGTCAATTCACTTAAATATTAATAAAAGTTTAAAGTGGGTACTATATTCAGAATATTTCTCTAAATATTTTAAAAAAAAAAATGAATAGCTAATATAAAATATCTACTTTAAATGATTAGTGGGATATCACCATATAATATAATTATATTATATGGTGATATCCCACTTATGTTAGATTATATAATCTAGATATCACTATATAATTTGAATACCACTATAATCTAGATAATAATATATAATCTAAATATCTCTATAATCCAAATACTACTATATAATATAAGTACTAGTATATAATCTAAATATTATAATCTAATTACCTCTATATAATAATCTAAATAATCTAATCATCATCATATAGTTTATATATTTTCTATTTTGGGTATCTATTTTATGCTCTAGCTACCTATTTAAACACTTTCTAGTATCTATATTTTACTACTATATAATTTAACTACTATCTACTATTAAATTTAACCACCGCCACATGATCTATATATCATCATTTTTTTCTTGTTTCCAATCTATTTGCACATCAAATTTTACATTGTTGGTATTGCCTTCTTTACCTGTTTGGATGCCTAGTTCTATATTGAGGATATGAGTTGTCTATACCTCTTTTGATTTTAAGTTTTATACTATAGTTACTGCATCTCTGCACTTGTTTGGATGCCAAATTCTATATCAAAGTGCTTACCTTTTTGCGCCTGTTTGGTTGCCTTTCTAGATGCCGAAGTGGTGTAAAAAATATTACATCAGGTGGCACAGTAAATTTGCTAATCAGATTTTGGCTAGCACTATATTATATTTTTGATCTAGTCTTTAGGGCAGAATATCTTGGCTTTCTGTAATTGGATTCGTGCAGTTTTGTGATTATTTGAAAGAGGGCATTTTGTACTTTCCAATGATGCTAAGATCACATGAATCGGGTATCTGGATGCCAAGTTATTGCGTCTCAAAGTTTTGAAAAAAAATATGAATTTAGTGCTGGCTGAAATTAACGAAATTTATTGCACCAATTACGTGTTCGGTTCCTTGCCAGTTCCAGGCACTTTTCTGTCACTTTCTCATTACTTTCAAGTAACTTTTGAGGGTCTAGTTTAGTGGTCAGTTGGTTAGAGAATCAGAGGTGTAATAGATATTATTATGGCTAGCCTATTTAATTGCCGGATGAGGCACGAAGTGTCAAATTTGCAATCCATCTATTTGCTAAAGATGTGTTGCAATCCATTCACTTACTTTTTGATTGCCGGTAAGGCATGAAATGCTGATGTTGTGCCATTCTTGCAATCCCATTTATGACCATTTAGATTGCCAAGGATGAGGCATGAAGTGCCAAATTAGTTCAGGCTATATTGCTTTTATACTTTTTTTCATATATTTTCCTGAACCTTTCTGCCTTCCCGACCTCTTTTCTGCCTATCAACGGTAGTACCCCAAGTTGTAATTTTTTATTTTCTTTTCAATATATTATTCTAACTTGGGGTACTACAAATTTTATATCTTATTTTTCGCTCCTGCCTTTCTAGAACCATTTCCCATATAGTTACTACTCTGGAATACTTTAGAATACTACCACATTGACTACTTTGGAGTACTACCACATCAATCACTTTGAGGTACTACCACTTGATTACTTTGGGATACTACCACATCGATCACTTTAGGATACTACTACATCGATCACTACCATATTATTTACTTTCTTTTGGCTAGCGCTGGGTACTATCACTAATTTAGTATTTTACTAGCAAGCATATTCACTCAAAATTATATAAAATTTTTATTTTAAACTTTGCAAGTTTTTATATATTTTTATACTGATTTCTTGTATATACCATGCTTCTTGCACAAAAAAAAATCTGGGTCTGATCCCAGTAAAATAAATGAAGCAACTAGACTCTTCTCTGGTTTAGCAAATCTTGATTTTGAGCCTGGTTATAATAATTATATATACTTTCAATATCTGTCTAATAGTAAAGATAATATCGCTTTTCTAGATACTTATCATTTTGAGGAAATTTTTGATAAATATATTATTCAGGTTGCAAGTAAGGGATTCACAGTAGTAAATCACCCATCTGAAGTTTATAGATTACCTGATTCTCATGAATGCATTGATGGGAATTTGCCTCTTCACCTTGTTCTGGATATTGATACGAGGCAAAAGCTTGATCCCATAAATCCTGAACTTTCTTCCTTAGATAGAAGTAAAATTTCTCATGAAGATTTATTATCCAGAATCTTAATTGCCTGTGCTGATATCTTATATTTTGACTTAAAACATTTTGCAATATTAGATGCTTTTGCCTTAGCCAGTTTGTCTAATTCTGATAAATGTAGCTGGCATATCATATATAAATATGCATGGTTTGTTGACTACAGAAACCTTAAAGGATTTGTGAAAAAAGTTGCTAATAGGGTTGGGAAATCATATTCTGAATTTATTGACCTTGGGCTTTATAAATCACATTTTAGTCTTTAGCTTCTTGGATTGGCAAAGGAAGATAAAGTTAAAAACCTGTGGTTTCTTCAGTTAAACAAGGATATCACAAGCTAGAAGATTATTTAGTTTAATCTAAATCTGATTATTCTGAAATTTGGCCACAAACCTTTCTTCTGAAAAGCCAAAAAAGGATGAATTCCAACCTATCAAAGATGAAACCACTTTAAGCAAGAGAGCTGGTTTAGTTATAGCAAAATATGAGTGGCTTGAAATTGGCCATATTAGAAAGAAATTTGTCAACTTTTAAGCAAAGTTATATAAAGCATGCTCTATTTGCAGAATCAAACATGAAAGAGATTAATTATATAGCTTTCTTCGAAGTAATAGCTATTTTGTACTTAAATGCTATTAGCAAAATCAATATAAGCCAGATCATAAGGGATTAGCATTTGGAAAAGTGACCAAAATTTCTGCAAAATCTAAGAGAGAAATAGTTAAAAGAATAGGTAATGCTATACCAAATCCACGTCTTCTTGTGGAATTATCAGAAATGATAATTAATGTAAAAAAATTAAAGGATGCTCCAGAAGTATATCCCAATTTCTTGGGTATTGAGAAAACAACAACACTTATTCGTTCTTCTCTGGGAACATGGAAAACTACTGCATTAAGAGAGTATATTATAGTATTGAAAGATAAAGTACATGATATTTCTTCCTTACCATGCTATATCTGGATCTCTTATCAAAAGTCTCTTAGCAATGAATCGAAATCTAAACTTAATGAGTTAAAAGTATCTGGCTTCAGAATTTGCAACTACCAAAATATGCAAGGAGACTTATCTATAAATGAGTGGGATTTTATCATAGTACAGATTGAGAGCCTCTTTTATGTCGAATTCATAGCCCATCCGTTTGTAGCTATTCTTGATAAAGCTAATGCTATTATGTGTCAAATGTCTAGCGGTACAAATATATAGAAATCTGAAAATGCAATGTGTGATGTCTTAAGATTTGCGAAACATGTTTTGGCTATGAATGCCTTTGCAAATAAATCAATATTAGCATTCTTTAAGATATATCGTAGTAAAGATATTTGTATAATTGATAAAAGATACTGGTCTTGTATAAGTAAGACAGTTGAATTTATTTATGATTCAAATAGTGGAGCAGAAGCTATATGAATAGGATATGACCTTTTGAAGCAGGGTAAACATGTAGCATTTGTATCTACCAGAGCGGTAATAGCTAGAGTGTTAGTGGAAAAAGTATCTAAGTTGTCTAAACCTAATAATTTACCTGTTAGAGCCCATGTTTATTATAGAGATATAGATGGAAAACAATGTCAAAAAGATGTTTCTGATATTAATATCGCTTGAAGTAAGCTTGACTGTATAGCTTATACAAATATAGTGGAGGCAGGAATATCATTCGAGGTTACAGGTCACTTCGATATAGTTATAGCTATTACAAACATCGCCACTCCAGTTCATGTCAAAGCTTTTGCACAAATGCTTTATCGAATTCGTGATTGTCCTTGCCATATTATTTCTATATTCTATCAGAAAAATTCTAATGAACTTTTTTGCCCACCAGGTCATGAAAATATTAGAGCAGAACTTGAAAGTGCTCAGCCTAATAACTTACCTATAGTAATAAAAAGTCATCGTGAATGGGATAAAATACCATTTCTTATAAAATTGATAAATTTCTGGCTGTAATAATATTTATTGAAGTTAAGCATCAGAAATGCCTTTCTGCAAGATACTTTATTGAGAAGCTTTGTAGTCTTATAGCTAGTACCAATGCTTCTTTCTAACTAATAAAAATAGATGAAAGCTGAGAAGTTATAAAGAACCGTAAAAGAATCCATAATGAGGTTAGAGTTGAAGCATTAGTTATTAAAGAAACAGATTTTAATGCAGTTGCTACTTCTCAAAATCTTAGCCTTGAAGAAGCTGAAGTTCTTAAATTTGACCAAGAGTGCTCTATCACAGATACTATAGCACTTAAACGTTTTTATATGCAGAATCTTTATTGCAAAGACATGAGTATTGAGGATTGGGATAATATTTGCAATAGAAAATTTGTTGAAAATTTTAGTTCACCTGAAGCTCGGAAGCATTTCTTATGATTGTTTTATTTCTGAAGGCAAGGTCATGATGAGGAAAATGCAATGAAGGGATTGAAAACTGAGAAAAATATACAATGAGAAATGGCCTGCCATAAAGCCAAAGAGAATCTGGAAAAATCAGTAGCAGAAGACTTGTGTAAATCTTATTCAGCAAATCATTAGAAGGCTATAAGAAAACTCTTTCAAATATTAAACTTTATCGGCATTGATGATAAACATATCCTTCCTGGTAATATTGTATCAGAATCATTCGTGCAATCCTGCAAAAGATTTATAGAAATTCAAAATCAGTCTTTATAACTTTTTGGCTTTAAGTCTCATGCTAAGACAATGCCAAATCTTAATTTGGCTATAAAGGCAATCAATGCAATTGCTAGTAATTGGTGTAGCTATACTATTAAAAGTGATAAAAAAAGAATAGGGTCTAAAGGACAACAAGTTTGGCAATACTCATACCAAATTAATCACCAGCCATATAATGGTACTGGTTTTGGTGATAAAGGTGCTCCAGAACTTCTATTATATAGGCCAGATGAAGTAATTCAAGATCTTTTTGATTCTATAGAGTAAGAAAATAACACTTCAGCTAGATTATTTAGCTAAGTATCTTAACTACATTAGATTCTGTTTTATTTTTTTTACTTTTGTGCCAAGCATGGTTATAAATTCTGCCATGCGTGCTACAGATTCCAGTATCAGAATAGGTTAGCTTATTACAGATAAGACAAAATTTTTTAGAACATGTTTTATAGTGTATAGCATATTCTAAAGCATGCCAGCACTCTTTTCTACAAATCAAACCATCTTTCTTGATATATTGGCAGGATAAATGATCTATATGAGATAATTTTGATATTAATAATCTCAAAACTTCATCTTTACTTTTATTATAGATATTCAAAAATACGATGCCTCAGGTGGGATATTTTTTTTGAATTGAACTTTTTTCTACAATATATAATCTAAAAATATAGATTAATCTAACTATTGCTTATATTCTACATACCTTATCATGTCCGCTATTACAACCAAGTTTGTTACAGATTACAAACTCACTACTGAGATGAGTCTTGAAGAACTTAGCCAATACGCACCAGAAATACTTGACCTCTTAACAGATGATAAAAAGAAAAGGCACCAAGCCCATAATTGTCTTATAAAAGGGTATAACTTTAGCAAAGAGTAGGCGTTTGTATTGATTCCACTCCAGAGAGTTGGGAGATACAAAAGTCAAGTGCCTCTCAAAGAAGGTGGGGCAGAAGCTAAAAAAGTGAATATATGTCAAGTATCTGATAGTACTTGTTCTAGAGAGACTATTAAAAAAATAGCTCAGTATATTATAAAAGATAAACTTAGTGAAAAAGATATAAAAGCGATATCTAGAAACTTAGTTGAAACTGCCCATGATCCTGTTGTTGCCTTATCCCATTTCTCTAGGCTTCAAAGAGAATTGCGAACCATCAATACTTCAGAAAAAATAATTTCTGCTACATTAAATCTGGAGATAACCAGATTATCTAACAAAGTCCAAAAAGAGCATAGCAAGCAACATGAAAATAAAGGAGTCAATTTTCCAGACCACTTCTTATTAGAATTAGTTAAAGAGAGACTGGATTTGTATAATGTATTTAATATACCTGATAAACAAGCCCTAGCTGATGTAATGATCATGCTCTGTATTTACCCTTCAGAAATTAAAAGCCTGCACATATCTAATAGCAGTATAACAGGTTATACAAAAAACTGAGATCAACAGAACATCTCTTGAGTATTTAGATCACTGGAAAAGAATAAAGATCGGGCAAGACAATTGCTTATATAGATTCAGAAAGCAATCGTTTCCGGGGAGTTAAGGGATCCAGGAAAGCTTAGATTTACATACTTAAGTACATTTCTGAAAAAAGATGAGTTTCTTCCAGAAAGTGGTAAGCTATTACTTCTTAGCTCTTTACACGAATTAGAGGCAGTATTTGCTTCTGTAGCACATGGGCCTAAAAATGCATCGAAAGCTAATACTTATGCTAGTGAAGCCTTTTAGCATTTACCTGATAACCATGCTTCTCTATCTAAGAGGTATACTATAGTCAATATGTGGAAAAGAGATGAACTATATAATCAGGCAAGACTATTCTGCATCTTCGATAAAAACTAATATTCAAATTTTCTTAGAGAGTGGTTTAGATAATGTTTATTAGACTTTATTTTTTCATTTGTCTGTGTAGGTAAAAATTAAAATAAAAGTATCTTAGTTAGATAAAAACAATATATTTGATATATAATACATTTATACAACCCACTCAATATTTAAGATATTTTTAATGAATAGAAAAAAAATAGTTATACCTAATACATGTTATTTGAATATAGCTTAAACTATATTAGTAATTTAAAAACACCAGAAGCTTGGCTACGATTTGCAAAGTATTGTCCGTCTAAATATATATGTAGACGTTTATTAATACCAGAACATGAAATAAAAGGTAAGAACTATTGGAGAAACTTTGTATTCTGTATTAAAAATAATTTAACCAGAAGAGAATATATAGCCAATAACTCTAAATTTAGAGAATTTAAAACCCAAGTAGTATATTTTAAAACTTTGTATATAAAAACTCGACTAGCTATTATCATCCAGCGAGCATATTATTTATGGAAAAAATGAATAAATTCAGCTAAAATAATTTAGTACACAGTAAGGAAATGGCTTTATCGACCAGGTGGCATATTAATAAAACATACCCAAAATCAGTATTATCAAAATGCTAATAAACTTGAGAATTGCTAGTAGATTAAGTAGCTCAAGGAAAGTAATGTATTCATCTGAGTCTAGTTTATTTGAGTCAAGTTCTTTTGAAGAAACTATTACAATAGTAAAGGAATTCAAGGAATCTAATTCAGATTATACATTATGCAAAGGATCTATTGGCTCCAAAAAGAAGATTTACAAAGTGAAGTCAGGAAAAGTAATATGCATAAAGAAAAAATCTGGCAATAAGACAAAACCTAGAAGGAATTTAGGCCGAGCAGTCTGATCTAACTAGTCTGGAGTAGTGATTTACCAACTTAGAATATTTTTTCTATTAAAAATATGACATAATTATATTAGCAATAAATATAACAATAAGAGGATCATTTAGCAATATGTTTATAAGAGATACTATTAATTGGGTAGATCAGTCATCCCCTCTGAGCTCTCCGGTTTTAGAACCTAAAAAGATTATACAAATACTAGCTCTCACACAAGGTGATAGCTTTGTAAGTAAATATATTAAAATAATAAAGCTATATGCTATTGCTATTGGCAAGGATTTAGATGATATAGATGTTAAAGTAAAATTTCTTCATAGATTATCACCTGACAATGAAAAGTATGTGAATGAGTTTGGTGTTAAAAAACCTTTAACTGAAATATTTGAATACCTAGTTAAGTCTTCTACCGATCTGAAGTAGTAATCACCAGCTTGAGAAATTTTTTTTGTTTAAAGATATAGTATATAATATGCACTATTTATAGTGTATTTAAGTATTATAAATTTACCGTAACTATTAGAGCAGATTTTATATTTCTTAGTGGTAGATAAGTCACTTTATCCTGCTCTATTTGTTTGCCGATTGTGGTATAAATGTGCTGTTTCTAGCTTATGAAAATATATTGAACTAAAGAGGAATAATCTAAAATATGATTATTATTTCCCAGATGATTATACTTATTATAAGAGAGATCATGCTCAATGAAAAAGATTTATCCCTTAATATATAGACCAACACAGGCAAATTTGCCTGCATTTTTGCACTTTTTTAGCTTTAATTTACTTTTTTAAAATGCTAAAATATTTAAATAAAACTTTACACAATTATATTTGAAAATAAGGATTACTTTTTTG